CCGTGTGTGTGTGTGTGTGTGTGTGTGTGTGTGTGTGTGTGTGTCTAGAAGAACAGGAATAAGGAGCAGGAGGTGACCTTAGGAAAATAAAGTGAATTACATTAAGAAGAATCATTTAGAGTTATTGGAGTTTTCATCCCTCCCCCTTATATATGACTATGTGATAAGAGAAAGAACAGACAAGAAGGCAACAGGTTTGCTTTTTGGATCTGGGGAACAGGAGGAGAGCAGGGCAGGAAACAGTGGTTTGTGTGACCTCCTCCTCCTCCTCCTCCTCCTCTTTTCCCACATCCCATGGCAGGGATCTCAGATACAGAACACTGTACCTCTGGCTCTGTGGAGAGCATCATCAGGGGACCCAGGTCCCCAAAGAGAAATCAAAAGTGTTAGCCCAGATATTCGGCACTGGACTTGTGAGGTTGTGCAGAACAACATAAAGCCCCAGGCAGATGAGGGTCATGGGAAAATAGTCACAGGTCTTGGAGATTCTCGGTCTGCAGGGAGGAAAGTGCCACTGGGAAGGGATAAGAGACAGTCTGTAACCAGGGCAGGGCAGAGCGTGCTGCCTAAAGGGCTTCTACTTCTGGAAGCCTCCTCTCTGCCTCCCAAAATATGTCTCCCTGATGTTCCCTGATTCTTCACTGTCCCTTCCCCTAATGAGTATCTTCGATATAATGTTATTTCATCTCCAAATACGTGGTGTTAGTTTGGGTAGCAAGAACAAAATAAGTACTGTGGTGGAAAAACTAATGGTCAACTTGGAATGCCCAGATCAACTGAGTCTGTGTGATTCTGGCGTGGAAGGCCCACCTGAGGATTGTTGCCAGAACGGCATAAAAGAAGAACAGGAGGGGAAGATTGCATGCTGTTGATTTTCCTAGAGAAGCTTTCTAAAGCTGGTTTTCCTGATGCAAACTCAGCTGTTCTCCTCGTAAGAGAAGCTGAGGTCCTCACTGTCACCGGGGACAGCTGCTGTTTTCCTCCAAGGGAGCTTTGGTCTTCACCTTGAGCCTTGCTTCCTGGCTCCAGTGCAGATCCCTCAGCCTCTTGGAATAGATCTTTTATCCCAGTGGTGCAGACTTCCTAGCTTCCACCACCGGCCTTTGGGCCTCCCCAGTGCAGCTCCTTGTGATATTGCTGTAGGCTGGACTCGTGGAGGACATCACCATGGGATCCAGGCCCTCAGCTGAATTCTTCAGGTCTCTGGCACAAGGACAGATCTCTTGCACTCTTCTGCACTTGACTTATTTGGGTGAATATTATAAAATAAGCCTATAAATCATGTGACCTGTGTTAAATCTACTCCCTTGACAATCCTGACTACAACCAATACACACCAAACCATGAAACAACATGTTTTCACAAAAGACAAGGACAAAACACAGAACTGTAGAGGTTTAGTGTTTGTGGATGAGTTCTTGGTAACTTCCTCAACATAATATTTGAAGGGTGCTTTTTGTAGGATACATTTGAGTGAGCAGACCTACCTGGCTATTGTGAGACCTGCTCTCCCTGAGTACAATTTTCTGCGGACTCTGTCTCTGTCTGAAGTCAGTGACCAAAGACTGTGTCCTTCCACAGCTTCTGAAACTCCCAGTCTGGGAACTGCATGTGGCTTTCGGTGAACACCATTAGCGTGTGGCAGAATTCAACACAAATGAACACAACAACAACACAATGACACAACAACCAATGGCATTAGCTTTTAAAAAAAAACAACAAACAGCTCTCCTAGAAGGAGAGGAGTGGGGGGGGGTACTATACTAGGCCCAGTTTTGAGGAACAAAGCTCCCAAACTCCCCCAACCACATGGCAAGCAGAAATCTCTCTTTTGTCATTGTCATTGACAGCATGTCATGTAAGATTTCAAAACACAAAAAAAATTCCAAGACAAAATGACAGTCCATATTTGAGTATATTTGGAATTAGAAAACAGAGACAAGAATTATATCCAGAGGGCTATGGTGATGTTTGTTACAAGTACCAATTAATTGATTGGTATAACTATACCACTATCTTAACTTTCACTAATTTTAAGAAACTTTCACAAACTGAAGTAACACAGCCCAACAGAATTGGTCCAGCTAAGTCATTTAAGACAAGCATGTTTAAAAGAAAGAATAGTATACGTCTACACTGCAATATTCTGATATCATAATATTATAATATTATAGGAAGGAAATATACTATTGTCATCATTGTAAAAATACAAATTCTGGCCAACTTAAGATCAAAATGAATGTGTCCATTCCTATTTGAGAAAGCTATTAACTGAGTACATAAATAGCTTTTTCTTTCACAAGCAGAAGTTTATAACAGGTTTACACTTTTTTTTAAACTCAATCTACTCTGAACCAGTTAGAAGAGGAAACATATTTGAAAATTGAGAGCAAACCAACACTTAATGATAAAGATACAACTGACTTTTAGCACATCAGTCACACTCCACATATTTTGAGATTAATTCCTAGAGTCCTTCCCACACTTATTCATGGTTTTGCTCTTCAAAAGGAAGTTTTTTTCATCCCTGTGCCAACTCCATTGCGAAAGGACCTTTTTGTAGATGTCTTCTCCAAAATTGGCTTTAGAAAAGCTAGTCCCTCGCTCCCGTGCAGCCTGGCTGGGCAGCTGTTCAACAGGATGAGAAAGTAATCAGATTTTTCAGACACCTGGCAATTCAGATGGGGGAGGAAGGAGAGAATACAGCTCTAAGGTTAAAAGTTTATTTCCACAGTAACAATTTCCAGAGTTTAATGCTGATAAATCCAATATATCTCATCTCTTAAGGGTGGAAATTTTGTTAAAATGCAATGTATACTTTATCTGGATACAAAATATTACTTGGAATGATCTACCCACTTGCCTAATGTTTACACTAATTGCTGCTATTCAGCATTTACATCATGCACTTAACACAGTTATCTTATTGCTATTTTTTATAAGAAATATTTCAAGTGGCACTAATGAGTCTTGGAAATCGTGTTTCAAATTCAGGCAGAAAAACCACCCAGGGAGATGAGACTCCGGGTTTCAGTGAGGAGAACAGTCCCTCTGTGGTCCTAGGCTACTTGCTAGGTTCTCCATAAGAAAGTCTTGCGCATGAACCCTAACATCTTTACCTTTCGGCTTTTGCTCAATTTCTCATCAGTGGTTCAAGGCCCAGAGAGTGCAAGCTGGTATTGGGGCGCTGAATGGTAGAAGAAATAGGTCCAAAACCTCAGAGCTCACACTAGACTTAAAGAAGTATGGTTCAATCCTCTGTTTGCAGATGAGGGGATCAAATATCAGAGCACAGTTCATGCCTAGTCAGAGCTGGCAAATTTGCATGTATGACTCAGGTGACACCGTCAACACTTGTCATTTTTCTCTTTTGCATTATTTCAGAAGAATCATCCTTTCTCTGGTGTGAGAAACTGAAAGTGTAAATAAGGATCAAAACGTTTAATAGATAATGTGAAATAGGAAGAAAAGGGGCAAAGGGGAAGGGGAAGTGGGAGGAGTAGGGGAAAGGAAAGAAGGGAATGGAATTAATATGAAAAAATGGAAACAAAGTCTTTGCAAATAGGGAGGGATGGAGGGGTTGAAGGGAGGCCAGGGGAATGGGGAAAAAATAAGAATCAAGATATTATGTACAGGTACAAATCTCTAATGATGAATGTCATATTGTATACTTAAAATGTGCCAATAAAATTAACTTTAAAAAAAGAAGAATCATAATACATTAACAAGGGACTAATACAAATATCATTGATAATAAAAGCAATGACTTATCAGTAATCTCTGTGATACATGCTTTGGATATCTCATCTTAGTCTATCCCCTAAAAAGCTCTGTGAAGCAAATCCCATCAATTCTTTAGCTTTAGATGGGGAAATGAAGTGACTTGGAGGTAAGTTTAGTCATGCTGAGCCATTTGAGTACAAGCTCAGGTTTCTCAACTGTTCTTTGAGAGCTAAACAATTTTACTGTAAATAAAGATGCATACTACAAAGTAAAAATTATAGACTTTATCTTGGTGCAAGAAGAACAGTTTGGCCTCAAGTTACTGTATTTGGAGGTTGAAATGGGGCCAGAGTACACAAAATGCTTCCCGGAAATCTTTGCTCTGGCTGAGTGATCCACTGAAGACTCCAGCAGTCAGAGGTCCAGGCAACCCATTCCTACTGGCCTGGGGAAAAATAAGGACTTGTTTGTCTTTCTTTTTGATCTGTGCATAGTCAAAGATCATTTCATAAATATTGGTTATGGAAAAATCAATAAAAATTCTTAGTTGGACACTACTATGTATTTTCCCTTGCGCTAACAGAGAGAACCTAAACGTGATAGATAAATGCCATCTATTTTACATCTCCAGCAGGAGAAGCGTGTGAGTCAATTCAGGGAGGGAAGCAACCCATTTCTTTCCAGAAATACTCTTGATGCCACCTTTGTATTGCAAAAGAAATATTCTGGTTCTGGTTGTGAGATTCCTAAGCCATCACAAAAAGGATGCTGAAGCACTTTGTTGATCTAAAGGCAGCTCTTGTTAGGGTAGAATCATATTAAATACTAGCCTGGTTGATGGACTTGTATGAAGTTTGAAATAAATATTATAAAATCTTATATGTCACTTGCCTGCATTATTATTCTCCCTGAACTATCAAACTGACACAAATACCATCCACACCATTACCGCATGAAGGAGTTATAAAGAGAGCAAAGTTGCCAACTTCAAAAGCAGAAATATGGAAAATTTGGTGAAAGAAATATTTCATTTATGAGCAAGATGGTTCCATAAGTACTTTAGAAGAACAAATATTCTTAATTTTTAAAAACAGCTACAGACAAGTGCTTCTTGTTCAACAGAAATGTCATGAGTAAACCTTTGGGGAAAGAATAAAAAGTAATTAGGAAGACACATGAGAAAATATACCAATTTATGAATTGTGACTCATCAGCTTGATCAATGTGCTGTCTGATAGAATCAATGACTAAATTAGTGCTGAATGCTCATAGGAGGGAAGCCAGAGAAAAGAAGCTATATTAAATAAACAAGAAAGAGAAAAATGACAGATGTGAAGATTAGTGAGAAGGCCAATAAACAAATAACTGGAATATTATGTTTGAACACAGATTTATCATTTAGGATTTATATGACATTTCTTTATCCTAAAGCAGTTTCATAAATTACATTGATTTTAGGAATTACAATGTGACAGGTTAAGTTTTAGTGAAGAAAAGTTAAAGTTCAAAATATCATCAACAACCTAAGATATTTTAAAATTTTAAACAAAATATTGACATAAAAATAAACTCAAATATCATATGGAAATAGTGTTAAATATACCAAAGAAAGATATTTATTTTCTAAATGTCTTGAACAGTTCAGTGAACTCAATCAATACTTTTGAATAAATATATGGCTTAATATTTATGTAATATTTCACTGAGATCTACCATTTTGTCTATATTCTGCATCAAAGAAAGTCTGTTTTGTAAAATTAGGAAATTTGCTGTTTCTGAAAGATGACCACCATATCTTAGCTATATAATTTCAATGGCTAAGTAGCCACTGTGATTATGAGTGGATGTATATATATATGGAAAAAATAAATTTCCATGGGCAAAAATTAACATCTTACATAGGAATGAATATTTACACAGGGACCAACCCTAAGTAAGTCACAACAATTTAATGTAGTCCAATATTATTATCACATAAATGTTTCCTTTTACTGATTTCTGAATCTGAATCTGATTACACTTTTTTTCATTGAAAGTTCTAAAAATAAAATAAATTGTTTTTCTGTTGCATACTTCTTGAGGAAATTTTGAATTTAGATATTCCACAAGTCTAGCCATCTATTCAACCATAAAAAATAGAGGTGAAACTCTTACCTTAGAAGACAGATCTGGGTAACACCAAAACACAGACATTGTGGAAATGGACAGAATTAAGATAAGACTGAGTTTTAATAAGCTGCAGAGTAAGAAGGAAAAAAATCTCAGATTTAATTTCATGTAGGCAAGTATAAATTAAAAAGCATACAAAAATGTAATGTTTCTCTTTACATAAAAATACTGTATTTACCTGATCATTTTGGACTTTCCAAAATCTGTGCAGATCGGTGATTTTACTGCCAAATTCCTCAGACTTACCGTCAGATCCTTCCTGGATGGCTATTTTATATCAGAAAAGTTCAGAAATTAAAATGTCATCATGTCTCATCACAAATGACTAGTTTCTCTGGATGTGGCCTTTTGTTCTTATTGAGTGGGAAAAGGACAATAACATACAGACATTGTCATGGAACTACCAAGGATTAAATTCTTTTAAAGGTTGCCATTAAGAGTGCCCTTCAAAAGTCTTGTCCCCTCTACACTGCATCATTGTGACATTGTGGCCAGGGGATTCAAAGCCTTTTTGTTGTTTTTGTCTTTGTTTTTAGCTCAGAAGCATAGACTTTCAACAGTTAAGGAGGATGACACTATTTCCTTGAATCTCTCAAATATCTTGTTTCAGAGATAGACACAAAGGAAATCATTACAAGACCAAAGAGCATCTACACAAATGATGCATGCAGATTATTCAAAATTTCCAGCTAAGTTTCCTTCCTTTAGGACATCAGCAGTCAAAGCAGGGAAATAAGTAAATAGCATGGCCCTTTGTTCTAGTCCTGTAAATCAAAGGAGGAGCACTGTGCCTGTCCCTCCCATGGATACTCCCAAAGTCCCAGGTCCAGAGCTCTATGAATACCTTCCCACTTGACCTCCTTCCCTCCCTAGGGTATGGAACTTCTCCAGGCAGTGTGTGTGATAACCTCTCACTTCAGTGGGCATCTGCATTAATCAATTGATTCAGGAGTGCTAAGCATGCACAGATGTTGTTCACTCTTACAGTGGAGGAAAAAAGCAAGGGAAGTGATTTCTGCTTGGATAACTAGTGTCTGTGAGATGGTGCCAACATATTTTTTTAATACCAAGCAACTGGGGAAAATTCTTGCTTCCTCAAGATCAACACCTTTTGGAGGACAAAGCTGCCCTGTGTTTGAGACATTTGGTGCCTGTTTGTCAGTGATGCATTCCTTTCTTTTGGGAACCATCTCTCTGCATGATTCTCATGCAACTGTCAATCTTATAGCCCCAGTTTGCCTATCATAAGGGAAAGCGGTGACCCATACTCTCGAGAGAATCTACATCACATGATTAGGAGCTTGGGACAGATGATCCAAACATCTTTGATCAGAGTTCTGTCAAGGACATCATATGGACACCGGGAGACAAAGGGCCTTCCAGAGCACCAAAGGATTGAATAAACATGTTTTCTTTTGGTTTCTCCTTAAACCCAGGTCAAATAAACATATAAAAACAAAAGGAGTGGGGAAAACAGAGGCAAAATAATATTTTGTTAAGTCATGAGGAATAGGCTAAGTAGAACTGAGAAAGGTGCTTACTAACACACCTTTAAGAGTCAAATATTTGTAGAACCAGGTATATTTGCATGTAGTGAAGATGGCACCAGAAAAGGAAAATCAGGCAGACGTTTGTGTAAGAATCATTTCAGTGCCACATATCTTCCCATCCCTAGTTTTAGGCCCCTGAACTTGGCAGAATACTAAAGGTTTTTTTCTAATGGGAGGATAGAAAGGGTCTCCTGACTGAGGAAAACAGGAATAGTGGAAGGAGCAAGGCCTTTCTAAAAGCAAAGTTTAGATAAATATTAGACCCAGTGCTCAGACTCATGACTCAACTCTCGGCACACTCCCGACAGTTTTTTACCCTCTAGACAAATGAATGGAAGATTTCTGTCTGAGATGTCTGCCCAGTCCAAAAGGAAACACTTGGAGATATAGATATCAGGGTTTCCAAATAAAAGCAATTCAGCCAACTATAATCCACTAATGTCCTCAGCTGACAACTCCCATCAACACACAAAATCCTTCACTGGATTGTTCAGGTCCTACCCTTAAACAGACAACCTGGACACAACAGCAATGAATAAGGAATATTTATAAAGTTATAAGCCAATAATAACAAAGAAGATGAGAGAGAAGTCAACAGTAGCACTAATTTGCTATGGAAAACAGGGACCAAGACAAATTAAAAAAGAAAAAAAACTTAGCAGAAATAAGAGAAAATGGGAAAAAAGCAACTTTCAAAAGAACATCTTCACATTGTCAGAGAAAAAAACAGTACTGCATCTATAAAATTTGAGAAGAAAGTTATATAAAAGAAAAAATTAGAAAACAAAAAACTAATGAAAATTAAAACTGAAGAAATCTTCATAGTATGGAAAGATAAGGTTAAGCAAAACTCTCAGACATTAGAGGAAAAAAAGTCAAAGGAGAAAAATTAAGACAATAAAACAATAAGACCAGGCCAGTATACCTGATATAGAAACAATAGGATTTCTAGAAAAAAGAATAGAAAAAGTGAGGGTGTAGGGAATCATCGAGAAAAATTTTAACAATATTTTCCCTAACAAAAGGTTGTAGCTTTCCAGATGGAAAGGACACATCAAGTGATCAGCACAATGGATAAAATTCACCTGCTACCAAAACACATCATCATAATATCTCAGCAATTGGATCCTCTGAGATTTAAGATTGTCCACAAAGACTCAGAGGTTAGAAATACTTTATACTCCTTAAAAATAACACTGATAACTTAGAAAATAATGCAACAGTGCTTTCAAAATTCTGGAGGGAAACATTTCCAATCTAGAGTTTATTCCCAAGAATCATGAAAAGCAAGAATTTATTCCCCTTCATTAAATATGAGATTATAAGAAACGTTTTCAGGCACGCATAGATCTCTTTCTATAAACTCCTTGTCAGAAAGCTACTTTAGGGTATGTTTCATGAAAGTAAGTGTATATACCTATAAAGATGAAAATGTGAGATATACATTCAGGAGATGAACACAGAAGACAAAGGAAAAATTCTCAGGATAGTAGGCAAGAAAAGTCTCCAGAGAGATCTGTACATCAGGCCTGGAGGGCAACAAGCAGACTGGGGTAGGTTAGAAGCCCCCAGGAGTGACTGCTGCAAGAGGATGAAAGCCAGAATATGTGTGAATATCTTGAAATGAGAATAGGCAACTAGAGAATGGAGAATTGAATTGCTGATGAATCAATAGAAAAATAAGCAAAAGAAAAAGAGGAACAAATATTTACTACAATGAAAACAATGTTACATATGAAGGAAACCCAATTGAAGACAACTATATGAATCAGTTAAGAGGAGTATTTTGCATAGTAATAATAATGTAACTACTGAATAATGACCTAACAAAAAGAATAATTTGGCTCTATTGAGAATTGAGTCTAAGAATAAGTATATTCCTTGGCAACATGAATTACCTAATTTCTATAGATGGAGCTCAAGATATAATTTGAAAATCAAAATGCACCATGTTATTTAGAGATAAATACAAAGATAATCAGCTTTAAAAGGTTGAAAGTGATGGCTCTGAGGCAGGAAACTGAACAGGGAACAGAGACTGCTGTTTTCATAAAGTGCTTCTTAGAACAATTTTATTCTCTAAATCGAGTGCACTGTTCTCTGTGATGAAAGTAATGCTTGGAAAATTATAGCATTATGGATTGGGTGTGTTTGAAGATGTCAGGGGTCATCCTTACTACTGAAAAGAGAAAGCTTGTCTTTAGAGAGCCACACCAGGAATTAGAACCTAGGAAAGGAAAGGGAGAGGGGAAAAATGATGGTGAGAGACAGAAAAGGAGAAATGGGGGAGGGGGAGGGGAAGATCTATGGAGAGAGAGATATGACAAGATGGAGAGAACCAGAGATGGAGAGATGATTAGAACTAGAATGGGGAAGGAGATGGGAAGATGGATGAAGAGAGAGAGATGTGGTGAGGTGGAGAGAGATGGAAAAAGAGAGACTGACAAGGAGACAAAGACAGTGAGATGGAGGAGAGAAAGCCATAGAGATAGAGAGAGGATGGTGGATGAATGGAGAGATGAAAAAAGAGATAGAGAATATCTTTAAATTTTTGGATTCAACCATGCTTGAAACTCATTTCTCTCCTTTAATACCCCATATATAAAGCAACCTTTTTCCACACTTTAAGTAAAATGTTTGATTAACACACCCTACACTGAAGACAAAATAATAACACTCAACACTTACCAGGTGCTTGCTACAGACTGAGCACTGTCCAGCTGCTTTTTATGGATCAGTTCAGGACATCTTCACCACAAGTCTAAGAAGGCCCTGCTACTAATTCCACTCAGTCTCAAAGAAGTTAAACAATTTTCCCAAGGCTGTGTACTTTGTAAAGAGGAAACCCAGATGGTGACCCCAGTTCTGGGTGACTCCAGTGATCACTCTTCTATGCATGGGCCTTGAACACAGTTCCTTCACTTGGGACTAGAAGAGGCAGCACTTCCAAAATTCAAGCTCCCTCTTCTCAGTCAAGCAACACACACACACGCATGCACACACGCACGCACACACACATATACACCTTAATTCTGTCTTTGAAATAGGATGTTTTTGAGTCTCAGGAACCCTTTAATCCATATCACCACTTAAAATTTCCCAGAAATCATCCCCCCTGCCAATTCAATGCCTAGTCCTTCTTCTAGACCTGACAGGGGATTGGCTGGTTCTTTCTTGCCCTCTGATGTGTCCAGGGCAGAACAGTATATAATTTAAGGGCTCATGTCTCCCTCTCTGTCTTCAGAGATTCTCCAGGAAAATCAGGCAAGATAATTTTTGCCTTTCACCTCAGCAGCAGCATTTGGATGCTTAACCACACATTGGCTTTAAAATGTATCTTCCCTTTTCAGTTATCTGGATTATCTGCCTTATCCCGAGGACTTGTTTTTCATTAGACCTCTCACAATTTCAAGGAAATTTCTGGAAATATTGATAATGCTCCATTTATCTGATTAAATAAATCTCTATTATTTGAAAATAATCCAATACATACAATCTAGGGACTTGGTTAAATCTGGAAACCTAGGAATCTCTAAAAGTCTAGTTGTCAGTCCTAAT